TGTATTAGTTATTTTCTAACTCAAATTTTAAAGTCATGTTCCATAAATTAGAAGTATTTTTTTAAATAACAGACTTTAAGCAGGTATTCAACATACTTTTAAGCGCATAAAATATAGTTTTGCTATTCTAATTTGACTATAAACAGAAATCATCGTAATTAACAGAAATAAAGACTTTCAGACATCCACCTGTGCATAATTAATCTATGTGATTCACTTTGTAATAAAGTTCCTGAAATAAATTTACTTTTCAATATCCAAATTGAAAAAGAAGTGAAATAATGTAAAAAGCTGCAGATTCAAAAATGCTATATTTATTTAGAAACCATAAAAATGTTGTCCACTTTTGTGTTTCCACTTTTTTAAGTTTAATTAGAATGCTCAAGTCTTTTATGTGTCAGATTAAAATTAGTTTTTGAATTTAACAACCTTTAAGCAAGTATGAAACTTTTTTCAGTAAGCTTACATTTCTGTTTTTATAACTAGTTTTGTTATTGATCTGATTGAATAATTATAAATGTCATGTTCTCATAAACTGTAAGCTTAATTAACAGAAATAAAGGCTTTCAAACATCCATCTGTAATTAATCAATGGATTTTAAGAACTATTTATATTTATTTTTCATGTACTTTGACTTAGACAGCAATTCAGATTTTTATCAATAACTGCTTACAGTAACTGCATTTAATGATGTTTTCTATAAAATAATATATAAAGAAACACTGACTTAGAATGTTTTTTATTCACTATTCAATAATTATTACATTCATTTATCAATAATGCCTGATACGGTTTGATTTTAGATCGCCATGAGTTCTGTGGCTGAAAATTTTTCATCAAACACCATCTCTATGACTTTATTACCAGATACATTTTTCTTCACAGTCTCCTCTTTTGGTAAGAAAATATTTTATATTAATGACATCAAATTGTTTTTTATTTCCAGTTCTTTGGTCTTTTATATGTCAGAAATGTTTCCATTAGTCGCAATCCTGATGAATTTGACTGGCAGCCAATCAGAAAATGACATTTAGTTCAGTTTAACTTATATTTTATTGAAAAAAAAAAGAAGATTTTGCTTTTTTTTCTCATCTTCACTCAAACTGAGGCCCGACTTTGAAAAAGCCTTTGATATACGAATAAACTTGAATGAGTGATTAATTGAAAAACTCTGAAAAAAAAATCTGTTATGGCGATACATTTTGTTGGATGAGAAATTGTCCCAAAGTTATCGTGATAAACGATAATATTGTTGTTTTGAGATCATTTTCAAAGTAATGGAATGGTGATAGCTTACTAATAACACATTCTCAAAGATCAATAACTTTAAATTGACATTTAACACTGGAACTGGAAAACATTTTAAATATCCAAAATAAATAAACTAAACAAATAAAATGAATTATGAAGTTTCTGTAAGTCAAACTGTTAGTAAAGACAAAAACACCGAAATAAAGACTTTTGTCATCCAAATTTTGGTAGAAAAACGATAAATCATGAAAATGGAGATTATTGACTTTGTTTTAATTTACTGTGTGATTAACTGATTTATTGATTATTGCAACAGACCTAACTGTAGAGCGTTTTGGTTTTCTTTTACATAATTACTGCACTTAATTTAAAAATGTTTTGCAGCTGAAACTACCCAATTTCCACGCATGGAATCAGTGAAATGGAAGTAAATACAAGTCAATCCCATCGCAGTTCGCCCTGCAGCTCGTTTCTTTCTTTCCTTATTTCTTCCTTTCTTTTCGGGTAGAATCGAAAAGAAAAGCTTTTCAAGGCCGAGGCAGGAAAACGGGAGCACCTTGTTTTCACAAGGAGGCGTTTTGAAGTCAGGCTGAAAGAGATCTGAAGCTGCAATAAGTCGACTCGAGACGGCGGTGGAACTGATGCAATGTCAGTCACTTGAAGCTGGGGAAGCAACAGGAGGCAGGAGGAGGAGGAGGTTAGCGGCGAACAGAAGGAGGAAGGAGTGAGGAGCAGAAGGTGCAGGTCGGAGAGAGTCACAAACAGGCCTGGCTGCTGATTGTGATTGCTGTTCAAACAAGGCTGACAGCTGCCACAAACATCTCCCTGCTTAATATGACACACATTTACTCTCACCTGCGCCGATAGCCTCCCGCTTTATGGCGCCCTGTTATCTTTCTTTCTGCTCCTCGGCCTGATAAGGCCGCTATGATTGCCCTCCGCTCGCTCTACAGCATGACAGCTCAATCACTCATCACATCAAGATGTCCCCTCGTCGCTCGTGATGAAATACCACCCAGATCATCCTCTGTCATTCCTCTGTTTAGCCTCAAATGGATGTAGCTTCACTTCGAAAAGGTGGGTTTAGATTGCAGTTTCCTTTAGTTTAGATGCAAACATATAAAAGAAAGTTTTTCCACTGGTTTGGTTGAATGTTGAGATCAGGTTTTTTCTAGTTTTCGGTAGTTGGCAGGGCCAGACTTAGAAAAATATGGAGCTAATTTTGGTGCCCATATCCCCAATAAAAACAAAGAAATATATTATTCTGTAATAAACTTCATGAAACAAATTGAAACATTTGCCAGCATTACTTGTCATTATCTTATATATTTGTACTCTTCTTTCTAAAAAGTGAACAGAAATTAGCAGGGCTGGATTTAGAAGAACCAGGGCCCCGGGCCAGTTTTGGTGCTCTATGCCCCCGCCAAAGAAATACATAAAAGTTATGATAAAGTCCCTGAAATAACTAAAAAAATTAGCCTGCATTACTAGTCATGATCTGATTTGTGTACTTATTTTTTTATTGGACTGTGATTGGCAGAACAATCATAGCCCCACAAACACAAATACTGCTCTTGAATAGCATTTATATTACACTTATTTAAGACAAATTACTGTTTTTTCCCCCCACTAAACTCCATATACTAACTGCATTTAATCACATTTTCAATTTGTACTTATTGGTATTCTTATTTAACAAAGAAAATAATAATAAAAAAATAGCAATCCTGAATCCAGACAGTTTCTGTTTTTTTTAACATCAATTGCAATTTATCATGACAACAATAAATCAATATTCTTAGAGAAAATGTATCACGATAAATGATAAACGATAAAATGTTGGCCTCAAAAATATGTGCTGCTGTGTAAGACTGAAATGATTCACCGGATTAATCGTGATGAATTGATTACTGAAATAATCGTCAATTAAAGAAAGTTTGTTTCAGCCTTTTGTGAATTTCACTGGATGAAATCTGTCAAAGAATCCAGCAGATACAGAAAGGACTACACAATCTGGTAAAGATACTATATATTTGTAATAAAGATAAGATAAGCAATTACCTAACTGGTTGAATTAGGATATGTTTTTATCTGATTAAATAATAATCAATTATTAAAAGAATCGTTAGTTGCAGCCCTGCTATAATGTCATACTTTTAAAATATTTGGGTGTAATTTAAAAAAAACACCACCACAGCCAAAATCAACCCTTAATTTTGTAAAACATGCTTAGTACAAAATAAAAAATAAAATTTCCACCCCCTGAGAACTTGTAGCCCTGGGCGATTGCCCCTGTAAGCTCTTTTTAAAGACTGATCAAAGCAGTAAATGCTGCAGAAATGCCAATTTTGAAATAAAATGAAAGTATTGAGAGATTATCCTAAGGTTTCCAAAAGTACAAATAGTACTACAGTTGTTTCCGATCTTTCCTGTAGATTTTTTTTTCGTGAATAAAGAGACCTCACCTGCATTCAGTTCAGATCTGCTGATTATTCGTGTGGATCAGGAAACTAAAACAAATAAATCAGAACGGATTTCCTCTTGCGTTACTCTTCCGTCAAAGAAAAAACATGCAATAACAAAATATAACCTTTCCCAGCAAAACCTTCAGTTAAAATAAAGAACATTTTCCATCCAAGGAGCCTGTTGTTCTGCTCTAGTCTCCGCTCTTTATTCCCTTTTGTGTTTGTTAAAAATCAAACTGTTGCCTCCAGTTTGTGGACAGTCTGGTGAAGCTGATAATGACTCAGGGTTAGGGGGAAAGCAGAGGGTTAGTTATGCATGCAGAGGGCGTTCACTCACTACTATATAATTCAGAATGCTTCGCTTTTTCCTCCCCATCCTCCACAGAGAGCAACAATCGCGACATCAAATGCGCCCACTCTTTCATGCGCATTCCTGCTGTTTTCCCCTCTATTTCTGTCTGTGTCATCCTCCCTTTTCTCTTTACACACACACACACACACACACACACACACACACACACACACACACACACACACACACACACACACTCCTCCACAGCAGCAGTTGCACATTATGGAGTGGTAACCAGGCAGCATCTAATTGCAATAATTGGAAGAATGTACCGAGCGGGCCTGTTTGAACACCTGTTAGCGCTGAATTTCTCTCATGGCTGCAGCTCGTACGCGCCGTGTCACACGATTTGGTGCGCGTGCATGTGGGCGCATGCATTGAGGAAGAGTAGGAGGGGAGGAAGGGTATGTAAATATGACACACTGGCTGCGCTCCAGGCCCGCGTTTCGCCGCTTCCAGAAGGAGACAGGCGAACAGAAATGAATAAAATGCGTGATGCGTCTTCGCGCCTTTCATGCTGTCACCATTGTTATGAACGCTCCCGCTACCGGAAGTCTCTGCCGCGGGGACAGATGCGCGGAGCTGTCCGCCCGCGCCGGTGCTGAAATCTCCCCAAACGCAACACAGCACAAGGGATAAAAATAAAGAGACTAATCTACTAAAAGTGAAATTTCATTTTTCTTTAAATAGACTAATGCTTCATTTTCACCTCTCCTGATATCGCTTCATACTTCTTCTGTTTTAATAGCGCCTCTCTTCAGTCCAGGCAGCAGCGGAGGAGCTCCAGTCAACATGGAGCTGTTGTCATTTGAATCATAACGACGCGTTAATTTCCTGTCTAATTTCTGGTTCACTTTCTTTTTTTAATAGATGTTCGGAGTTTGATTTGTGAGTGTTTGCTTCTTTTAAATGGAGCTTTAGATGAACCTACCTGTTGATATGAAAAGTCCGGTCCGCGCCGCGTCCTCACCAACATCTAAACCAAAAGACAAAAACAGTTAAGAACATCGTAATGGGACCAGATTTGTCACGCTGTTGTATCTCCAAACACTCCCACTCCTCCGTGGGTCTCCGTCCGAGCTCACCTGGCTCCGGTCGGTCCGGAGCTCCGTTCCGGGTTGGAGCGCACGGAGAGCCGCTCCGCGTCCTGAGCACAGAGATCAAGCCTCCGGTGCGCTGCTGGCTGCACCTTTTAAAAGCCTCCACTGAACCAATAGGAGGTCTGTCAGCGTGATGGGACCTGACGTCACCCTTCTCTCACCTAACAACCCACCAACCCTTCCCCTCCTCCGCTTTTCTTCAACTATATAAGAAAAATAACCACATTGCCTCCTCGGAATTAGAACAAAAAAAAGTGCTGTTTTCTTCCATTTCTCATAAATCTCGGCTTTCTGTGTGATTTATTCTTTGTAGACCGGAAGCAGGTCAGAATTTGGAGGTGACTCCAGGTAGAAATAACAAAAACAGACCGAGTTATCAGCAGCAGATGGGTAAAACAGACACAGGTGGACTGCAGACGTATTCAGACATATTGAGCAGCAGTGTGATGAGTTATCCTCACTTTGGTTCAATATTTTAACTTTTATAACGATTTCTACGGTGAAGTTTTGAACTTTGAAGAAGAGATATAGGGCGAGGTTTTTACTTTAAAAACTGTTTTAACATAACATCTGCTTCACTAAACTTACATTCCAGAAACTATCTGAAATTAGTTTCTGGCTAGACAGGTTAAGTTTATTTCTATAGCGCATTTCAGAAACGAGGCAGTTCAAAATGCTTTACGTCATAAAAACATAATCAATAATCAATTGAAAAACACAAAATAATGTTTGCCATGATCAATACACATCAAATATACCGATCAGTGTTCCAGTTTTTATGAATCAAAAGCAACTCTAAACAGTCTTGATTTAAAGGAACTCAGTGTTTGTTCTGTTTTGCAGTTTTCTAGAAGTTTGTTCCAGATCTGTGGTGCATAGAAGCTGAATGCTGCCATGTTTGGTTCTGGTTCTGATACAGAGCAGAACCAGAAGACCTGAGAGGTTCTGGAAGGTTGATACAACAGCAGCAGATTAACTTTTTAGGCAGAACTGTGAAGACACTGTGACAGTGCACTGTAAAAACACAAAATCATAACACTCATTTTTTCTGGTGGACTCAGATCTGACCCTTCAGAGACGCATGAAGACAGTTACAAAGTCGGCCTTCTATCACCTGAAGAACATCTTTAGGATCGAAGGACTAATAATGTCTCGGTATTAGAGAAGCTCATCCATGTGTTTATCGTTAGTCGCATTGATTACACTGAAAAACCAAAAAATAGAAACTGACCAGAATTACTTGTTAAGATTTTGTGCATTTGCAGTGTAATCAATGAGACTAAAGACAAACACTCTCTTCTTTTTGCAACATTAGTCTTAATCCTGGAAGTGTGTGCTGACTCTATACTGTTAAATGTTGCGTACAAAGACAATAACTTCAGTTTTGTTTCTGGATGATCTTCAGACGTTGCTTCAAATGTAACTGGTCATTTTGGTCAAACAATCTGATTTAAGCTCCATCTGAACTCCAGGAGAATTTTAATGTTTTGTGGTTTTTAACGTTTGTTTTAGAGTAACAGCTTCTTCCTTTCAGAGCGGCGCTTCAGCCCATGTTGGGCCTGAACTCACTGCGGATGATGAGGATCTCCTGCATGTTTCAGCCATCGGCTTTTTGCTTCTGTTCTGGGGTTGATATTCTAATTATTATTGATTTGGTGTGTAGGTGAGACACACACTATACCATTTTTAATGAGTGTATTGGATTTTTTTTTAATCATATTGTAAAGCTGCCCTGTATCATAAAGTATTTTATTTCTAGTTATTTTTTTTACGCCTGGAGAAAACAGATGACTTCCTCTGTTTGAATTTCAAAATGATTTCTATCAGTAATGAATCTCCCAAATCTGGGAACAGATTTTGGCTTTGATCTTAAATATATAATTTATGCTACTTTAACTGACTATGTTAAACTGCTGGATTTAAACACTTTTTTCTGCGTAATCTGTTGTAAACCTGTTGACTGCAGCTCTTCAGATTGAAGCAGCGCTATGTCTAAAAGAAAATCTGAACAAAGCAAAGAGAAAGAAAGAACTGATGTTACGTTTGGTTTGAACTCGAACTCGCTCGGCAGATGACAGCTACACATAATCTGTCACTGTGTGGCTCCTCTGACAGAAGCGCTCAAAAGGAGATGCATTTTCAAACACAAATGAGCAATTTGTTAGGCCATTGTGTGCATCATTGTACTTTCTAATTTCCCAGACTCAGAGGCCCATTGTGGGGAAACTCCATTGTGTTGTCGAGTGCTTTTTCTTTTTTCTTTTTCATTTTTTTTCTCGGTTGTTGTTGTTGTTTTCTGGCCTTTTTTTTCCATGCGTGCAGCTTTTCAGACACGCTCATAAAGACACTCACAGATGTTTGTGCAGGGGCTTTTTTGGCCTCCCGTCCATGTATAAACCCGGGTCAAGTTTGATCCCATTAATGGGAGAGCGCAGGAGTGTGACAAAGGACAGCAAACAGCAGCGATGTTTCGCTACCTGTGAGCCGGACGTGCCGTGTTTACAGCTGGTTCTGACACGTCCAGCAGGAAAAGAGCAGGTTCTTTTAGAGGAATGACAAGAGAAACAAAACGTCTAATGACAAAGCCTTAGTTGCTACACTTTGTGGGAAAATATGAATTAAAATCGACAAATTAAATCAACCACATTTATTTGTATAGCAAATGTCAGCAAGATGGCATTTAATGAAAACATTTAAAAAAATATAAACACATAATATTGTCAACAATTGTGAAAACCAATAACAGAAAATCATCAATAAGCATCAACTATGTTGGTCAGTGTTCAATTTATTATAGTTCAAACGCAATGCCAAACAGGCGAGATCCTAGTCTACATTTAACGAACTCCGTGTTTCAGCTGTGTGTTGTTAGTTTTCTGGACGTTTGTTCCAGATTTGTGGTGCATAGAAGCTGAATGCTGCTTCTCCATGTTTGGTTCTGATGCAGAGCAGAACCAGAAGACCTGATTGGTTCTGGAAGGTTGATACAACAGCAGCAGATCTTTAAGCCATTCAGTGATTTACAGACTAACGACAGTAGTTTAAAGTCCATTCTCTCAGTGGAATGACTGTAGAACCGGGTGATGTGCTCCATCCTCCTGGTTTTAGTCAGAACTCCAGCAGCAGTGTTCTGGATCAGCTGCAGCTGGAGGACTGATTTTTCAGACAGACCTGTGAAGACACTGTTGCAGTAATAAATACTAATACTAAAGACTAAGATAATGGAAATGTTCTTCAGGTGACAGAAGGCCAACTTTGTAACTGTCTTTATGTGGCTCTGAAGGTTCAGCTCAGAGTCCATCACTACACCCAGATAGTTAAACGCTTTTTGGATTCAAATATCTGATTGGCTCATCTTCATCTGACTTTCAGGTTTCTTAAAAAAAAAGAGAAGAAAAATAAAACCCAGATGAACTCTGCTGTGCCGTGCGTTAATAATGAACGAGTTAGTTAACTTACATAAACAATGGTGCTGCAAAAATATTTCTATTCCCAGATTCTGCTTCATATTCAGCAGCTCTGTGTTCTCTGTGTATCCTGTTACATCTGAAGCGCTGCAGAAAGAGTTAAACAGAAGTGCAATCCCACACGCTATTGAAACTATTCTTATTTATCTAAACTAGATCGCTTTACAAACACATTATGATGTTGTTAAAATGATTTTCCATTTTGCAGCTTCATTATTTGGTGTCAGATTTATCCTCAACAATTCAGTCTGGAGGAAATTCACAACCAGAGGCGTGCAATCCAGAATTTGTGCATCTGTTTATTTTTAATATATAAATATATCCTCCAAAAGTTCCACTCTGGAAGGAAAATGTTTGCCAAGTGTGCCTGTATTTACTGCATTTCACAAAAACGACAACATTTTTAGTTTCTCCAGTCAAACTGCATTGTGTCAAACAAACCAAATCCTATGAAATACCCCTTCCCCTCCTCGCCTGTGGGGGCGCTGCACCAAGAACTACTGAAGGAAACGACACAAAAACGTCTGAAGAAGTCACTGAGCGCAACTTCCTTCTGCTCAGAATGAAAACAGAAATGGAGTGCTGTCGGGTTGAAGAATTTCTCTTTTGTTTTTGATAGAAGCCATTTCTCCTGTTAGCGCTGGTTAGCTAGTGTTTATTGTTGTTGTATTTACCCATAATGCCCTGCGCTTTAGTCAACTTCCTGCTTTTGGAGTGCTCTCCAGTTTGCTTGGTGTTCACATTTGCATTTGAACCGCACCAGAGTTCACTTTTTTGCACATTCATGTCTCCCCAAGCGACCCAGACTCACTAGGCAAACAAACTGAAGTTGAATTGAATTGCACTAAACAGAATTCCTCAAGTTGCAGTTTTAGCTTCAAGTGCTGTAAAATAAAAACAAAACCTCATGTTGATGTTAAAAGGATTGATTTTAGCTGCAAATACATCCATGAATACTAATGATTGAGCATTCACTAAAGTAACACTGTGTTACTGCATTTTAGGCAGAAAAATGTTTAAGGAAATATTTTTTATTTGTATTTTTCACTAATGAATTTCTAGTATTATTTAGAAAAATTCTTAAATGAAAAATCTGCAATTTGTGGCAATTATTTTTGTCTGATTAATCAATTAATCATGAGAATAATTAATAACTAGAGTAATCATTTAGTTGCAGCCCTAATTAATACCACATAATAAACAATAAAAATGTGCATCAACTAATAATTTACTTATTAAACTCTGATGTTAAAACAAACTTTAGCACCATAAAGAACATTGCATGAAGTTTGTGGGATAAAATAACAGGAAAGGCTGTGAAATATTTTAGCTTGATGTCAGTTTTTCTTTTATTTTTCTGGCCTGCTGCTGTTATTTCCAGTTTCTACGACCTGCAGCGAGTTGCAGCCGATAAAAATACAATCAGAGCCGTTATTCAGTGCCTTCAGAGGCAGAAACAGCTGGCCGCTGCTCTCATGAACGAGAAGAAATTTGCATTTGCAACATGTTTACGGAGCTGCAGGTCAGATTATCTCTGAAGCTCCTGCGTCCTGTAATAGCTTTATGGAAAAATTAAATATATATTCACAAACTGGAACCTGATCTTGTACGTTTTTATTTGCCTGGGTGACCGTTTCTTGTTTTTAGTTTGGAGGTTTATAAATAGGTTTAAAGGATCGCAGAAAGGTTCTACCAACCTCTGTAGTTTAAAAACGCAACTAAATTAGAAAGACGGGAGAAATTTTGGGAAATCCACCATGAATAAAACAATTTATGTTTAAATTCTGATTTTGGTTTTAAAGTAATTATTTTTGCAAATTCATTTTGGTTATAGTGATGTTAAAAATTAAAATACTTTTTAATTTTACATTTACATTACATTTTATGTTAGAAAAACAAAGTAAATGTGGATAAATAAGAGGTTCAAGGTTTTCAGT